CCCTGGCCCATTTTTTTCTTGTTTGACTTTTTACAGTAGGAATGATAGTGCGAATGAGAGCAAATGCCAGTTCACCAAAAAAGAGCTGTGGGCATTCTCCTCCTAGGCCAGCCCTGGCTGCTCACTGCTGAGAACTGCCAGAGTCCTAGAAAGCTGCAGTTACACAGGATGGGTGTTTCTCTGCTTCCCAACCTGTTTTGCTCTTAGATTTGAATTGCCTTTTTTAAATTTTTTGTTTCAGTTTCTGTACCAATGATAGTGTGTTTTTTTGGTGCAAAACAATTGCAACAGCCTTTTTGTGCTGCTGTGGGTTTTGCTTATGAAGACCCTGTCCTTGCCGTGCATTGGAGCCATGTCCCACGAGGGCCCAGGACACGCAGGATTTGAGTAACAGAAGCAGTCCTTCCCACCGCCATGAGAAAAGGTCGCTATTTTCTTCACCTTTGCTAGGCTTCCCCCTGGTTTTGTGGCTGTCTGCTTTCCCTGGGACTGGCAGGTGGTTTAGTTCTGCAGTACGTCAGTGGGGTGATCTTTATCCACTGAGATCTCGCTTGGCTCCAACAGCCCAAGGTGAAAGCCCATGTAGCTGCGAGGTGATCTCCCAGCAAAGCGAGCCTGGCTCCGGCAGGAGCTGGAGGATTCGGGCATTTGTGCTCTGTCAGGAGGTTTCTGCCCACGAGAGCATGCCCGGGGGATCACGGCTGAGCCGGCCAGCCTTGGGGAAGCCAGGCAGCCGGCCAGCTCCCGCTCCGTAATTGGGGGAAGTAACCAGCCGCCTTTGATGTCTGAGCTGGGCTGAGAAAACTTGACGGCAGACTTCAAAGTCTGTTGTGCCCGCTCGCCTGATTATCTGTAGGCTTCTAGTGCGTCCCCCAAGACTACTAGATTATCCCAGCTAATGCTGTGCTCTTCCCTGCGTCTCCCCACCCTGCCTGGCACCAGCCCCTTGCTTTTGAGGCTGCAACCTCCCTCCCTCCCTCCCTCTCCTCCTGCCCCTCCCTGGTCACTGTGAGGACGTGGCAATGGCATTTCTGGGCAGGGGACATGTCTCCTGAGATCTGTGAAGCAAAGGCAGAGGAGGCATTTTTGGACAGCTTGCCTATAGCCTGCACCCCTGGGCTGTATTCCCCCTCCCTGTTTGATCGCAAGAGCAGCCTGAAATGCAGGGAGCTCTTTGCAGCTGCTCTTTGCAAGGCACCGAGGTGTTTATAGCCAAGAAGGCACCGTGTGCCTTTCCTCCAAAAAGCCTTTGGGGAGCAGGGCTCCCATCCATGCTGTTCCAGGGAAGGTCATGCAAGGAGAGGGCTGTGTTGTCTTTGCCCCCTTCCTGGCACCTTGCTGCCTCAAATTAGTCTCTAGCTCCCTCGCCACCTGCTCCTTGGTGTTCGGGGACCCCCAGGGTGCTCGTCTGTGTGAGTAGAGATGCAGAGGGCAGGTCACTGCTGATGGCTGGCTTGCTCAGATGGGGGTGGGGAGGCGGCAGAGCCATGGAGTTGAGCAGAGGCCCCAGAGCTCATACTCCTCCCAAAGCAGCTTGCTTTCACCTGGGATGTTGCAGAGCAATGCCAAAAGCTCATGGAGGAACCCTCCCTTTTAAGAGCTGGGTTTTTTTCCCCCCTAGAGGAAGCAACCTCAGCAGTGGCTGAAAACCGTTCCTGTGCAAAGCTGGATTTGCCCAAGACATGGTTTGAGGTCTGGATTTCTTTGGAAGTTGAGGTTTGTTGCTACTTTTCAGGAGTCAGGGTGGGCTGTGTCCTCTGCTGCAATGGGTGGAAGCCAGCAAAGAGAGTGGCAGCTGTGGGCAGAGGAGACCAGCATCGCCTGCTGCTCAGGAGCCTTGCTGCCTAACCCCAGGCACCCAAATGGGGTGAGGGGGCTCACGGGGGCCATGTAGCCAGGCAGGGGATCTGGGCTGCAGCCTCTCCCCTATGCTTGCCTAATTGCTTTTGGGTCTCGGCAGTCTGTTCCCTCTGAAAACCAACACTGACCATGGGTTCACCTCCTTCCTCCTCAACGGCTTCCTCCGTAGCATGTCTACCCTACTTGTGGGAGGATCCTGCCCTACCCCCATCCCTCCCCAGGCTCCTTGCGGTGTGCAGGCAGAGCGTCCGGTCAGCCATTGTCTGCGAGGTTTCAAAGTCGTCATGGACATTGCAGATTGCTGCTGTGCTCTTTTTATTAGAGTTTAACTGTACCCTACCTGCACTGGGCTTGGTAATGCTTTCCATGCTGTATTTTGGTGGTGTTTTTCTGGAAAGCTTTGGCCCAAAGTGGCTGAGCAGCATCCAAAAAGGGTGCCCACAAAGGGATCCAGGGAGGCAGAGGGAGGGAGAATGGGTACAGAGGCATGCAATTAAAGATGGTCATCACCCACGTGAAAGCCAAAGCCAGTGCTGTGGGCAGCCTGACCTCTGGTCTTGTGCTCTAAAGTGGGAGATGGTGGTACCCTGCTGAGGTGTGCTGAGGTGGCCCTGCTGCTCAGGTCGGGGGCTGTGCTGAGGGCTGGGGGTCAATAGCATTTAATCCCCATGGCCCTGGTGCAGTGCTTCAGCTCACCAGGCTAGGTGCACGGGCACACGCACTGCCTAGCTTGGAGGAGGTGAGTCCTTTGCTCACTGTGGGTACGGGCAGGGACCCTCTGTGCTATCCAAGAGGTGTATTTCCCCCTTGCTTCCTGTCCTGTGTCTTCCCCGGGAAAATAGGGCAAGGGGATCTTTTCTTCCTGTGGATCTGGCTTCACTGATGTGGTTTCTAATGGCAATGCTGTCTTTGTAAAGGATTCTCTGATCCTCTTCCTTTACCCTGCCTTGAGTGGTCTATAGCCCTGCCCTATGTCTGGTTGCACTGATTTCCCAGGGAGGAAGAGAATAAGTTTTAGACTGCGCAGTCCAAGGAAGAGGGAGCTGTTGGTTTTGTCCACAGAGGAGCATCATTGCTGGTGATAGGGCTGGGCCAGGCAATCCTATTCTCCCCGGTTTCTCTATTGCAAATGTAAAAAGCGACTCATGCATCATTAGAGTTGCAAGCTTGGAGTTAAACTGTCCCCGTGTGTGCGTTTATGTGCACACTGATTGTCAGAAGCTCACTGAGGTTGAACTCCAAGTTTCCTTTCTATTTACTCTGTTGCTGCAGCAGAGATGCTTTTCCCTCCTCCAAAGTGGTAAGTGGGTTGGCTTACTGTCAGCAGAATCATCCCTGGGGCACTACTGGCAGCGGGTTGCTCTTGGAAAGCAAACCTCTTCATCCCTTACCTCTGAGATGGGAAGTTTTCATCCTGCAGCAGTGAACAGAAGCCTACCACGCAGTTATGGCTATGTGCATGTCCATGTCCTACTGCCATGGGACACGTGTCCTCCTCACCAACAGGTGTGCTGGGGCACTCCTCCACCGCTCGCCAGCCTCTGCTGTTTCTGCTCGCCTCCTCTGAGGAGCCAGCGCATGGGTTTCAGCCCTGTGTTGCAGCCTCTTCCCCCAAAACAGGTGCTGCTCCTTTGCTCCATTTCATTGCAACGAAATGGGTTGGGTGGCAGAGGACAGGTAAGATCCTGCAGGAACGTCTCTGCCTGCTGCGACAGCCTGTCCCCTCAGCCTGGATTTGGCTTTCTGGAGAGCTGCATGGTGCTACGGGGGCTGCGCGCGCAGGCTGATGAGGAGCTGGATAATGGAGGCGCGAGCCTTGCAGCGAGGAGTCTCTGCCTCCATCTCCTGGCCCCGCAGGCCGTCATATGAATCCGTTTATTAAATGGCGAAAGGAGGGACCTCGTGTTTTCGTTCGTTACATGAATCTCTTTCCCTCTAGAAGTCCGTGGGATCAAGCAAAAGGATTTGTTTTACGGTTGGTTTTTGCTTGTGAATCCCTGAGCTAATTTAGTCATTCAGTCAATGCCCCAGCAGCATGGTGAGAGCAGCATGGCTCAGGGGTAAATGCTTTGTGCTGCCCTCTCTTCTGAAGGAAAAAAAAAAAGAAAAAAAAGAGGCAAACCAAACCCCCCTCCAAAAACCCCAAACAAATCCTTTCAGAGAGTGTCTCTGGTTTGAGCCCCTTGCTAGTGTTTGGCTGCATGCCCGAGAGGCTGGGTTTCCCCTACCTGGGATGCGACCCTGTCAGCCTCCCACCATGCCCCTGGCACCTGCCGGCAGGAGCAGCAGCATGCCCCAGGCCACGCAGTGCCGACAGTGTGATGCCACGCAGCAGCCAGTGCAACCGCAGCGCTTGCCTCTGGGGCTGTGGCCAGCAGCCTCCTGGCCTCAGCCCTCCCAGTGCAGCTCCCTGTGGTCTCACTGCCCCTGAGCAGTGCTGGTCCGGGATCCTCTGTATCCAGGTGCCTGCCCTGCCGATAAGCTGCCTGGGTTGGGCTGGCTGTTATGACGGAGGGTTTCCTGCCCATGTAGCCGATGGGCTGGTGGGGGTGCTGTGGGAGAGACACCACACTTGGGGTGCCCCACTGCACCCCGAGGCAGAGCTTGGTCAGCCGTCCTCGGGGAGCACTATGCCAACCCAACCTGTACCTGAGGCATCATGCTGCTGTCTGCAGCTATGGGAAATAAATAGCTGCAGGGAGCTTCAGCCCTAGAAATCTGGTCGCATCCCTCCTGGGGGTCCAGCCCCTCACCCCCTGTGTTAGTAGGGAGCAAGCTACTCCATGCAACAAAGTTGGAGTCGTGAGGCAGAGGGTTAGCCTGTGAGCTGCTGACGGACAGCAAAGCCACAGCCGGTAGCGTTGGGCACCTGGCACGCACACAGCGGCAGAAGGGGCCTTGGGCATCACCCTTGCCCAGGCGCTGTGGGGCCTGGGTGCCGGCTGTCACCTCCCAGAGGCGTGTTACTTTGCTGTTGCACCCCACTCCCTGACGTCTCCCTGCTGTTTCTAAGCAGAGGAAACCACTGCCGCCAGGCGGCTTCCTCCCAGCTGCTTTCAAAATAGCGGGGTGGCTGTTGCCATCGCCCATGTGAGCCTCCACCGCCCCTCTGGGAGAGGACCCAAGGAGAGCCATTTCCCATGGGGCTGGCACGGTGCCTGGCGGCTGCCTTCCTCCTCCTCCACCTCCTCCTGGGTGAGTGCCCTGCCCAGTGGCGGGGGCTTTCCTGGGGCAGGCAAGGGGGAAGTAAAGCTCCTGGGGCTGGGAGCAGCACCCGCGTGGGTCAGAGGTGCAGGCTGTTACCCTGGCCACTCTGCCTTCCTAAAGTGGGTGGACGGGACCTTTGCAGGTGGGTGGCTCAGCAGGGCGCCTTGCAGGGGCTGCGGGGTGAGGACAGCACTGCCATGGCCAGTGCTGCTCTGGCTTGGTGGCTGTGGAAAGAGGTGCGGCAGCATGTTGTCCTTTTGGCACTGTGGTTTCACTCCAAAGCGATAGCCCAGACCCTGGCAGGGTTTTGCTGAGGGGATGTGCACGCCACTGTTGTGTGGCTGCTGGGGGTCCGGAGAGGTTACCTCACTCCCCCTTCCCTTGGGAGGGAGTTTCTGAGGGTTTCTTAGGCTGTGCTGCCACCAACTCTCTTCCCTGGCCTGGCCCCCATGGTTATTTTTTGACTCAGTGCCCACGTCCTGTGGGCATTTTGCTTGGTGTGCATGCTGGACACCAGAATAGAGCAGGTCACCACTGGGAGCTCTGTGGGAGGGGAGGGTGCATGGGTGGCCATCACCTCCCCAAACCCTCTGCAGGCAGAAATGGAGGGAGCCCTTGATGCCTCTCGGTGCCCTCTTGCCTTTGGAGGAGCTCTTGCTGGCCCCCTCTCCCGCACCCTCCCCAGTTTCTATGGAGTGCCTCTGCATCACCCAGCCTGCCTGTTCGTTCCCTCTGCTGTCCCATGTCCCTTGGCTTCTGCATTGCATCTCCTTTTCTGGCAGTGGTCAGTTCTGGCACCTGCTCCCTTTCCCCCGCAGCTTGTGCAGGACTCGAGTGCTTGGTCCTCTTAATTTTAACATACCACAAGCTGCCTCCAGTGATCTCAGCCTGGTTGCTGCTCTCTCTGAACAGCTGGCTGAGAGATGCTCTCCAGCCTTTAACAGGTTTGACAGCCCTCTGGCCATGATGCTCTGGTCTCTGTCATGTGACCCTCGCAGTGTGCTAGGAGACAAGAAAGTTCGGAGGTCTGTTGTTATAGGACTTGTTCTTACAATTGCAAGGGGCGCGAAGTCCCTTGGACTTTGTGCTTCAAAGAATGAGACTGCACAGCAATTCTTTTCAGTATTACATTGCGGTCCTAGGCACATCCAGACCCACTGCCGTTTTGGGTGTGCAGCCCTTGGGTAGCATATACCCCTGCAAACACCACATGTGCCGACTGTTTGCCGGCAGGTTTGAGCACTGGCCAACGGGTGGTGACTGTTCAGAAGGGGCCCCTCTACCGTGTGAGGGGGTCCCACGTCACGCTGTGGTGCAAGGTGAGCGGCTACCAGGGCCCGGCGGAGCAGAACTTCCAGTGGTCCATCTACCTGCCCTCGGCCCCTGAGCGGGAGGTGCAGATCGTCAGCACTGTCGACCCCTCCTTCCCCTACGCCATCTACACCCAGCGCGTGCGCAGCCGGGGGATCTACGTGGAGCGGGTGCAGGGGGACGCCGTCCTGCTGCACATCACTGACCTGCAGGACCGGGATGCCGGGGAGTACGAGTGCCACACGCCCAACACCGACGAGAGGTACTTTGGGAGTTACAGCGCCAAGATGAACCTCGTGGGTAAGCTGTCCTGTTAACAGCATGGCTGGGGCAACAGGGCATCTCCCAGTGGCGTGCAGCAGAAACCCATGAACCCCCCCATGTGCGATGTAGTCCACGTAAGCCATCAGAAAAAACACCAATGAGGAGAATAGGAGCAGAGAGCAGGGGACACGGTGGTGTGAATTGCAGGAAATCACGGTATAGAGACGCGAACCTCTCAGGTGGGTCCTGAAAGAAAGCCTTGCTCCCTGCCGGGCAGGTGTGCAGGCAGGCTTCCACTGTCCCCACCTTTGCACTGGGGAGAAGTGCTCGTCTCTGGGTCTCTGACAGAGGGGCAGCTGGGGAAAAGGGTGATTAATGGGACTGGTGGGCACAAATTTTCCTTCTCTCCCCACAGTAGGATTGCTATCCTACCCCCAGGTGGCCAAGGTTGGGATGCCCTTGGCAACCCTTGCAGGTTGCTCTGGCCGTTGTCTCCCAGCCAGGGTAAGGGAAGGGAGAGGAAGCCTCTGCTGTCCAATGGCCCAACTTTAACTTCAGCTCCTGATGCAGCCGCAGCATTTCACAGCTAAACCCTTAGGAGGTCAGGAGTTTTCAGGCTCTGTGTGTTAGCTGTTGGTGTCCTCTCAGGTCAAGGTGTGGGACTTGACCCAAGCTGGATGGCCACAGACGAAGGGAGGTAGCAGCTCCAGCAGAGCACTGGGAGAGGGAAGGCAACGGGGTGGAGAGACAAAAGGAAAGGCCCTACTGTGAGCCTACCAAGTCTACATGGTGGTATGGTACTTCCACTTAGTATTCACCCCTGTTCCCTCCTTTATCCTGGTGTTGTACCAGCCTGCACTTGGGATCATGAGGGACTGGATGTTAATCTCCTTGGGGTTGCCTAATTAATACTGCCCGTAGTTTGACTGAAGAGGATACTGCAGAGAGATTTACTGTGCTTTCTGTACTGCTGAGGTTTTAACTGCTTCACACCTTGGTATAGGCTGATGGAAGCCTTGTCAATCAGCTACAAAAGATATTTCCTCTACACTGTCAAATCCCTTAGGGCCTGGCTGCGGTTTCATAGTGGCCTGCAGGTTGCCCACCAAGGCCAAGAGACAATTTTTCGCGTGACCAGCTGCTCTCTGTGTTTCTCCCCTGTGCTCAGTGATTGCAGACACCCTCTCGGCTTCCATGGTGCCCCAGGTCCTCACCCGCACCGAAGGGGACACGGTGGAGCTCACCTGCGAGGTGTCCAAGTCCACTGCCCAGCACACGCATCTCTCTGTTGGCTGGTACCGTCTTCAGGGAGCAGGAGAGCGCCGCGCCGAGGAGGTCCTCACCCTCTCCAAGGACTTCGTCTTGAGGCCAGGGCCCTCTTACATGCAGAGGTTTCTGGCGGGAGATGTGCGGCTGAACAAGGTTGGGAACACCACATACAAGCTCTCCATTGGGGGAGCAGAGCCATCCGACCAGGGGCAGCTATACTGTGAGGCAGCTGAGTGGATTGAGGATCCTGATGAGACATGGAAGGACATCTCCCGCAAGCAAACAGGGAGGACGTCGCTGGCGGTCATGAGCCAGGGTAAGGCCCTCACAAACTCATACATTGTCTCCAACTCCTTTGTGCACTGAAGGCCCTATAACAGCAGCCTTCAGTGGCCTTTGCCTGCCTCCGCTGCAGCCCAGGGACCCACCGGTGGGTCTGGCTGCCTCCGCCAGGCACTGAGGGAGCCGACTGGGCTCAGGGCTGTGGCAGCCCCTGGTTTGGGAGCTGTTGGTGCTTCTTGCTTTGGAGAGCAAGAAGCCACACAGCTCTCCACACAGCTGAGTCTCCGATGCCGGCAGCAATCATGCAACCTCACAGGCCCATGCGAGGTGTTAGCAGAGAGCAGCGTGTGCCTGCAGCAGCCTGGCTCCTTGGCAGCGTTAAGCTCCTGTGTGTGGAAAACCGTGTTGTTAGACTGCCTCGAGGGTCTCACGGCCTCAAAAACTGAAGTACATAACAGTCAGCTGCCCATCGTGGTGCCTCGGCCACAGGCACTGAGGGACATGGGGATGTGCTGCATGTGCTACAGCTCTGGTGGTCATGCCACCGCTGTGTGGGGTCACAGTGCAGGGTTTCAAGGCACCCCGCGAGTCTCTGCCTGCAGCCTAGCTGGACTGAAGCCAGGAACCAGAGGGTATTAGCAGCAGAGGCTTTGAATGCCCCGTGAGGAAGGTGAATCGTATCATAGGACCCGGAGACGGGGTCCTTATCTCAGGTGTTGCTGACTGCCCAAGAGGGTCTGCCAAGGAGAAGATGACTTTGTGCTCCCCCTCTTTGCTCAGCACCTGCTGCTGGTCAGTATGGGGGACAGGACAGGGGCTAGGAGATGACGTCCACCTCCTCTTGCTTCCCTCTGACCTCCCTGTGCTGCGACAAGTCTTGACATTTCTACTTTCTGTAGGAACTAGCCCAAAACCTCTCCAACTTCGAGAGCATCTCTTGCCCACATCCCGCAGCAGCCAGTGAGGGCTGCAGCATGCGGGACCAGCAGCATCAGATTCAGACAAGCAACTTGAATGCCAGCCCTCCATGCACCTTCTCCCACCACAGACAGCAGAGTTAAAAACACCACTGAGTGATAAAGCCCCTTTGTGCCCCTTTCTGATTTAAGGGTTATTTGTTACATGAAGCAGAACAGCTCCAGGAGGCGAGACAGAGCAGACCCCCACAAAAGCCAATGCATGGCATTGGGTTAGGCATCCAAACCGAGGGCTGCCCTGAGTTGAGCAGGGGGTGGCTGTGGCCCGAGGCCATCCTGATGGGTGCTCTGCTCTGGGGGGGGTTAGCTGCCCCAAAGCGGGGAGCTCAGCTCCTCAAGGCTCTGGTGGTTCCTCTGCCTGCGACTGCTGGTTACTGCCTGGAGCTGGTAACCGTCTCCCCATAGGCAAAATTTTCCAATCTGATCACTTTTCTACTGAAAGAAAATGTTTCAATAGCGTATTCTCTCCCGTTTCCCTCTGCACGGCCATCAGTGCTGCCAGGCGGGAGGGAAGTGTGGGCAGGGCCACCCAGCACCCTCTTTGCTTTTGATTGTCTACAGGCAGAGACCTCTCCGTGGACATCGCTGCTGCTGAAACCTCTCTTTCTGAAGGTGATACCTTGCAGCTAAATTGCATGGTGGGAGCCCAGAGGAGCAGCAGCAGGCACTTTCAAGTGCTTTGGCTCCTCAACAGTGTGGAAGTGGCCAGGGTTGACCCCCATGGGGTATTGATTTGGGAGGATGAATATGAGGAGAGAGCCAAGCTGGGGCAGCTCCGAGCATTCAAGCAAAGCAACGTGGTTTATGTCCTCACCATCTACGAGGTGGAGTTGAAGGACAACGGTACGTACCACTGCTCTGTTTCGGAGGTGAAGACTCCTGGAGACTTTCACAGCATCCAAACCAATTTTTCATCAGGCATCCAAGTCGACGTGAAGCCGATAGGTTAGTAAATCCTAATGGCTGCTCTTCTGGGTAAAACCTGCCGTGACCCCTGACCGGAGAACGCTTCAAGTCTGGCCTCATCTTGGCAGGGGCAACACACCTGCTCTTTGCAGTAAGAGTGCAAATGTGCCATATATTTTGGTAGATAATAATGGGAAAAGCACTTGCTCTGGCAAACATTAGCATGACAGATGCAGCAGCTGTCAACGAAGTGTAAACCTTTAGCTTAGTCTCTTTGCAATAAGTTTTGGGGCAAATAGGTAGAGTTCTGGGGAGGTTGGGTCCTCCTGTGTCTTTGGTACAGAAAATTGTGAGCAACACCTGTTGCTACTCCTGAGGATCACAGGATGACCCAGCAGAACAGGTACTTCTGGATGGGCATCATCATTGCCATTTCCACCAGGGTGCTCTCTCTGTTTTGGAGGGGTGACTTGTGAGAAACCACTCTAAGATGTGTCAGAGACTCTTGGTTTCCTTGTCATAGCTAGATGATGGCTATTCTGATGTAACAGGGGCTGCCTGTTGGGACTCTATTTCTTAAGTATTTCTTTATGTATCTATGTCCCAGGAAAGATGTTAAAGAAGGAAAAAAAAACCCAACAAAAAAAACCCACATAGCCCTCTCCAAAGTTATAAGAAAAGGCTGGTTGAAAATTTCGGACAATTCATTTCCTTTCCCAATGTCAAGATTTATCTAGTCTCTCCATTTTATGCCACAGTTATCTCTGGCTTTCTCTGAGAAGCACAACAACATCCCCTCCCACGCAGTAACTGTTGTTTGCAGAGAGCCGCATGCAACTGTCCGTGTCCACCAGCACACCACAGGTCATGGAGGGAGATGCCTTGATCCTCTTTTGCGAGGTGCAAGGAGCGACCAGCCCCGTGTCTGTGCAGTGGTGGCACCTGCCACCACAGCACCCAGGTCCCCGGGTGCTGGTGGCCACCATGGAGTGGGATGGCACCCTGAGCCTGGGCAGTGCCTACCAGGATGGCAGAACTCGGGGGAGCCTCCGGCTGGAGAAAGCGAGCTCTGGCGCTTTCACCCTGGTGATCCCCAAGACATTGGATGAGAGCGATGGTGGGCGGTACGGGTGCGAAGCGACAGAGTGGTCCCGAGGCCAGAGCTGGACAGAGGAGGGGGAGACAGTAGTGACAGTCAGCTCCATGGGTGAGTTGGGCCACCCCTATTTCTGGGATTTCAAGCTGGACACGCTTGAGGCAAGGCTGGAGAAGTGGGTGGACACATGTGGGTAGGACAGAGGTCTCTGTGCCCTGAGCTCTGCTGCTGCTGCAGGGTGACCCGGGGCTGATCACTTGGCCCTGGAGTGCCTCAGTTTCCCCATTTCTAGCAGGGTGCTCGAGTCCTCCATGAGATGTTTTGGGAGAGACAAGTGGGAGACAATAGCTAAAGTGCCCAGAGACCTGAAAGGCAGTGGCTTGCTCGGCAGGTCTTTCTGTCTCCTTAACTTGAAATACAAAATATCTGTTCTAGCAGTATAATTACTTACAGTAATTAAGCACAACAAAGGCACTTGCTGGGTTGTATGGTGGCCTTTTGTCAGAGATACACCCTGGTGCTGGCATCTGATCGCTTCTCCTGCCCTCTTGTCTGAGCACAGAGCCACTAACATCCCTGGCGTGCAGTGCCCACACGTTTCTTCTTTTGATTGCTGGAATGGGTGCCTTTATGGAGAGGCAGCTTTTGGCTGTGATTTAGGGTGTTTTTCCTTCCTTATTGCTGGACTGGGTGCCTGAGAGCACTGGTCAGGCCACAGGAGTTGTTAGGCTTTTGTGGAGAGTGAAAGAAGCAGCAAATAGGGCAGCAGCAGCAGCAGAGGATCCCTGGCTCCCTGCCACGGGGCGGGACTGGAGAGCCTGGAAGAGAGGATACTCAGGGCTGCCTGGGAGGCTGGGGGTGGGAGAGGGGGGGGGCAAGGTAGGAGAGGCCAGGGACTGTGTGGGGCTGGAAGAGCACGGTGAAACTCGGCGGAGAGCAGCGCCGGCAGAGGAGCAGCAGGACTGCTGGCTGGGATGGGGCTGCAGTGGCTGGGGCAAACGGGGCGGGGGGCAAGGTAGGAGAGGCCAGGGACTGTGTGGGGCTGGAAGAGCACGGTGAAACTCGGCGGAGAGCAGCGCCGGCAGAGGAGCAGCAGGACTGCTGGCTGTCATGGGGCTGCAGTGGCTGAGGCAACAGGGACGGTGCTGCGTGGGAAGGGTGGCGGCGAAGTGGCGCGGGGCAGGACTTCTGTTCCTGTGTCAAGGGTTCTCTCCTCTCCAGCAGGTCTCGGTCTGCACGCCATGCTGAGAAGCCGAATTGCCACCGTCAGATACGGGCAGAGTTTTGAACTCGACTGCCAAGTAAATGCCAGCTATACCCTCAAGGAGGTGCCAGTGTCTGTGGGGTGGCTCTTCCAGCCCAGCCCACCCACAGGCCACTACCACGAGCTGGTCCGGGTCCTTCCCAGCGGCACCGTGGCCTGGGGGACAGCGCAGCCACACTTCCAGGGGAAAGCCCAGCTGACGAAGGCTGCCACCTCCTTCAGGCTGCGCATCCACAACGCCATGGCTGCCGACAAGGGGACATACCAGTGTGAGGTGGAGGTCTGGAGGAGGAATACCCTGACGCTGGGGCAGCCAGCAGCCACCGCCAGGTCCAATGCCGTGGGGATAAAGGTGGTGCTGCCAGGTAAGCAGTGCCATGGGTGCTTCTTCAGCAGAAATCTCTCCTTCTGCAACTTTAAATCCATCAAACATGCCAGGGGCAACCAGGACCACTGATGGCTGGGATGTCCCCAGCCAGGTCACCTCCTGGGGCCGCACGAGACAGTGTTGCCTGTCCTGTTTCTTCCTCAGCACCCACAGCTCCTGACAACACTCTTGAGGCGAATTTGGTGTTGGCGAGTGGCAATGTCTATTTGTTTGCAGATTATGCCAAGCATATAGGGACCAGCCTTGCCACTAGGATTTTTAAGCCTTGCTTCTGGGAAGAAGTAGTCCCCCCAGGAAGCTCAGTTGAATGCTGGGGGTGTGAGGTCCCTCCCATGGTGTGGGCTTCTGGGGGGCTGGAGGGAGGTGGAGAGAGACTGGCCCCCGAAGCTGGTGCTGGGATATGTCTGTGTCCCCCTGAGCTTCCCTCAGTGTATTCGAGGTGCGCTGAGAAATCGCCAAGGCTCTCTGCCAGGCTGGGAGCTAGCACTGAGCCGCAAGGTCCTTGGCAGCTCTGGGCAGAGGTATCTCCTCCCGCGCACGGCTGGGCTGTGTGGCTGGGGGCTCTGCCTAGGGTTCCCTTTTATGGACACCTCTGCAGGCAGGGTCTGCGCCGCCACCGTGCCTGCCAGCATTGCGCAGGGAGCTTCATCCTCTTATGGAAGAGAGATGTTGCAAATGCACTGCAGCCCCCCAGCTGGCCCGCCATGCGCCTGCTCCCTGCCACCCCTGGCAGCAGCACGGTGTCGGCTTGCCCTGCTCGTGGCTGGGGCTGCTGGAGGAATTGAAAGGATTGTCCCAGCCAAAACCTCTGAGCCTGTGGAGGCGGGCATGAGAATATGTTTAGGTTTTTTTCCTAGTGTCTGTTCTGCCAGCAAAGGAGAATTCTTGCTCTTTTTTCATGCATTAAGTGCTCCTTCCTCTTATCCTTGGATTTTTGGGATCATAACCCAGTGAACTGAAATTATGCGTTTTCTGTGTTTTTTAACTGATGGGTTTGCTGTAGCATAAGCTGATACATTCCCTTCCCTGTTTGGGCTCGTTTCTGTGGTGCTCTCCCTCCTGCTCCACTGCTGTTCTTTCCTCGCCCCTGCGGAGCTGGGTACTGGGGTGCTCCGTGTTACACCTGAGCCAGCCCAGAGCGGGGGGGTCTACAGGAGGCTAGGGGTGACAACAGACAGTGGCTGTGAGCGTACATTAGTAGTGTAAATGGCATTAAGATGAGCAGGTGTAATTGTAGATCGTCTATGCAGAGGAGACGGTAGCAGCAGAGTAGCACGATATTACGACATTTCGCTCCAAATGTATTGCAGCCATTACTGGATACTGCGATGTTGTAAAGATGGTGGAAACTGGGAGGGGGTGATGTGCAGTGGAAGGTGGCTGCTGGCTCTAGTACCGTCTCTCTGAGAAAGGCAGCATGAGCCAGTGAAGGATATTTGGGAAGGTGGAGAGTAAGTCTTGGAAGGAAGCCGGCAGCAATGGGATGAGGCGAAGCTGCAGAAAATGAAGCTGCAAAGTATGAAAATCACCAGCCTGTTTCTTTGCATATAAAACCTCATAGTCGGAGCCTGCAGAGATACTCCAGTTCTTGACTTTTGCTTCAGCACTTTATTTACCACTTGGTGTCTGTCGGCGCTTTAGAAGTTTAAATGCCACTGTGGATCTAGCCTGTAGCTTGAGACAGGAGGGACATGCGTGAAAGGTCGTAACAGGAGGGGAAGGAGGACAGGTCCTTTCCATCTCCGACTTCCCAGGTAGTTCAGCATCCGACCCTTGGAAGGGTCCCATAATTAGTGCCTTGGGCAGGCAGATGCTGCCCAACCCTAGCAGGGATGCTCTCACCAGCCTCTCAGCACAGCCACCCACGGTGGCTTCCCCCGGCTCCGGAGTGAGCCACAGGGGGCTTTGCACCAGCTGCCTGGCTGGCCAGCCTGCACAGGTCGCTGCAGTGGCCATGCCCTTCTTTGTGTCCTGCTGCTCCTGGGCTGGGCAGAAAGCGTGGCGTCAGCAGGCAGGGTTCACAGTGAGACGGGCAGCGAGAGGCTCGGCTTGGTTAATTAAATTGAAATTGAAAGGGAAAACAGCACTACGTCTTTCTGTGCCAAAGGAAAAGGCAGGCAGCTGCTCTGCCCTTTTCAGTAATTGATCTTTAGCGAGAGGAAGGAGAGGAGACTTGGGAGTTGAAAGAAAGGGGCTTTGCAGCAAGTGCTCCGCTTCCTCTCAAGGTGATCCTCTCTGAGAGTGTAACAGTAATTTTTCTCATCAAAATCGAGTGCTCACAGCAGCGGTTCCCATGGCTCCTCTCTGAGCTCTAGTAGCTTTTGCTTCCCTGGGGTATTTTCTGCCCCGGTGGGTGTCAGGCCAGGCCATACTCAAGTGAGAGGCCCCCCGGGCAGTTTGCTGTCTCCTGTGCTGGCAGCCTCTCTGGGTTTGGGGAAAGGACCTGGGTTTTACCCACCTGCCCCTGACCGCAGCAGCACTGCCGGGAGGTGCTCACTTGGAGGGATGTACAAGTTTTGGTCCAGCATGGCCCCACAGCTGACTTTTCTGGAGCTCATTTTTGCTGGGAGAGGTGGCAGAGCTGCTTGTGATGAGCGGTGGGGCTGCTCTGCCAGCACACTCTCACTGACAGCTGGAGCTGGGGAAGGCACATCCATGTGTCTGACATGGGAAGGCTGTCCCTGATGTCCACCACCTCCCCCGGTCCTGCCTACTTCTCTTCTGTGGCCTTTGAAATGGGGGCAAAGTCTCCAGTTAAAATACCTGGGAGTATTTTTAGTTTTCTCTTTGGCAGAGTTCACTTCTGGGTCCCTCCTGGACTTCAGCAGGCTGGCTGAGTGATATTCCTGCTGTACTGAGCAGTTGAAGTTAAGAACCAAGTGTCTTATTTTTTCCAGTGTGATCAGTTCATCTGTCACAGAAACACAGGATGGCTGAGGTTGGCAGGGACCTCTGGAGGTCATCTGGTCCAACCCCCTACTCAAGCAGGGCCACCTAAAGCCGGTTGCCCAGGACCGGCTTTTGAATATCTCCAAGGAAGGAGACTCTCCCACCCTGAAGATTTGTGCTTCCGTAGAGCTGGCTCTGGGCTGGGTGCACTTTTAACTGCTGAAGTTGGAAGACATCAACTTGCATCTGGTTCCTAAGTATGGCCGAGTCTACTTGGTCTCTGCACGTGTGGATCTGATGAATTTGCACAGCTTCCTAATTAGGGTGATTGCCTTCCTGTCTCTTCTGCTTCTTGCCCTTACCCATTCCTTGAGAGCAGGGCATGTGCACTGTGAAATGCAGGACAGCACTTTGTTGATCCCTTGGGAGTGGCCACCTCCCAGTGACTGTCACTGCCAAAATCCTCACCACTGAGGTGAGGCAGTAAGCAGATATTGGGACTTATGGACATGCAAGTCCTACTATGGAGGAAACTGTCTACCTTTTGGTGATAATGCGTCTGCTTGCAGTGTGGAGAGAAGAGGAGGAAGTGCAATAGGGTGCAAAGAGAAAAAAGCGGCGTAAGTGGACGTGAGCAGGGAGATTTTGTTCACAAATTTGAGATGGAGGCAGAGGCAATGCGCAGGGATGTCAAGGGCCATCAGTTGGGATATTTTGCATTGACTGGTCTCAGGAGAGACGGTGATGGCCTCTGAAGTGGATTGCTTGAGTTTCGAGAAGAAATGCTTGAAGGAAGGGGAAGCATGTGGGCTCTCTTCTGTGGTGTCCTTCTTCCCCATCAGCCCCTGCAGGAGAAGCCGCAGCTCCCTCCTGGTCCACAGGCTCTCTCCCTAACCTGCTGCCATCGAATCCCTCGGGGAGGTGCCGCGGAAGAGAGCGCCCTGCTGAGCCTGTGGCTGAGGGCAGGGGGCTGAGACGCTCCGCAGGGGCATCTCAGCATGTCCTCTGCAGCCCGTCCCTGAACCAGCACCCAGGGGCTAAGCTTAAGGGTGTTCAGTTGTCCCCGGCCGCCGCAGCACAGGGCGTTCTGCTGCTGAGCACGTACACAAGGAAAATGCCGAGAATGGAAACTCAGCCCACAGTCGCTTAAAACCCTGATGGTGTCCCATGCTGAGTAATTTCTGTCTACCCACGGGTAGATATCTGTGTGTACTGCTTCACCTGACTGCTGGCCCCATCTGACAGAAGTGGTGTCTCAGCGTGGAGGGGAGGGCCAAGGGGAAACGCAAGCAGTTGGAGGCCCTTCGAAGAGACCAGTTCGCAGCCTTTCCACTGCTGGAGGAGAAGGAAAGGCGGCAGCAATGGGTGATGTGCGGCGGGAAGGGGGTCCGTCAAACTAGGCGCATTGGGAGCAACTGTGTACCCTGCGGGGGGGCAGAGCTGCAGGCACCACTGGAGCTCTCCTCTCCTGAGCTGCTCAGCACTAAACTGAATGATTGCTGGGTATAATCACAGCGGATGTTCAGGACCGTGTTATGTGGTTTCTGGTTAATAACCACAGCAAACACCTGAGATGGTGACTGTTAGCAAAACCCACGCAGGCTCTGTAGTCTCTGAGATAAAAGATACTTGTTCACAGTCTCCAAAGCTGTGGGCTGGTTTTCTCACTTATGTGTGAGCCTGCCGACAGGAGCAGCGGTAGATGGACATTTTTGCTTCAGACAGAGGCTTTGCCTCCAAGCTCCAACACGGCGACTGTCTCCACCCCCCCATTCCTGCCCTGTGGTCCCCCACGCACCTCCTCTGCTACTCTCCTGCCCAGTAGCACCCAGTGATTCCCCGCCACAGTTCAAATAAGGGTGTGTGGATTTGCTCTTTCCCTCCTTCCCCCACCGCCCTTAGCACTCCTGCTCCAGCATCACCTAATGGGTCTTCGTCCCCTGAGCACCCTCTTCCTCCCTCCTCTTTTGGCGGATCTCTCAAGCTAGCCTCATTCCTCTCCTTGCCACCATCCTCGTATTGGCAGCTGCAGCCAGCGTGATTATTTTGTTTCTCCTTTTTAGAAAGCAAGCTTCAGGTATCTACGAAAGAGAGCTCTGTGGAGATTGCTGGCGGTGCTGAGTCAGCCATTGAGTGCAAGATCATGTTTGCCCAGAATAATTCTCAGTTCACCGTTACCTGGTACCTCCTACCTCCTCCTCCGGCAGATGCAAACCCCCTGAAAATCATAAGGGCCCACTACAGCAGCATACTGGAATATGGGGCTGAGTTCAGCTCTCCTGCACAAAAGTCCCGGTTCCTGAGCCAGAGGGTGTCCAGCAACATTTTCTGGCTGCGGATACTCTCTGCGAACCCCAGGGACCAGGGCAGGTACTACTGTGTGGTAGAGGAATGGCTCTGGCTGGTGGACGGCTGGTACAAACTCAGAGAGGGAGCATCGGGAAGGACCACGCTGGAGTTCAAGCTCCCAGGTAAGCAGTGGTTATCTCTCGCATAGGTGCTGCTGGAGGAGGTTGGACCTATCTGTGATGGGCCGCCTGCCAGGCCACTCCTAAGCTGGCAGGGCTTAGGAGAATCAGCAGCTCTGGCGTTGGATCTGAGACTTCGAGATGCAGGAGGTGTCAGTACCTCTCAAACGGAAATAGGGAATTAGGAGGATTTACCACATCCTCCCAAACCAACCAAGCTGGTATTCTTGCCACTAGCAGATGATGTCTAATGCTTCCTAACAAAGTGAATCGTGGCATTTTCTTTTCCCTCCAACACATGGTGCGCTTGGTCGGTTGTACAGTGCTGTGAATAGGGAAGTAGTCCTTTCCTGGTACTCCCGAGCATCCTGAAGCAAGAGACAAAGTTTTCCCTACCCTGCTGCACATAGCCACAGAGAACAAGACTGAATGCTCAGCTGCTCCCACCTTGGGCACTGCGCTGCTGGGGTGCACGGTGGGTCTCGCTGGCTCAGTTCTTCCCGCTCTCTCAGCATGACCTGGCTTATGGTTGCAGCCCTAAATAAAGTGGATCAGAGAATTCCAGCTTCCTAAATAGCTTTTGGTCCAAAGGATGCCTTATCACTTATGTGGAGGGGGAGGGAGGTATTACAGCAGAGGGTCGTGAACAAAAGGCAGAGATGATGGGGGGGGGAAACCACCCCGGGGAGAATGTGTCACAGGAGCAAGGGGGCCCGTGGGTGTCCTGCCAGAGGCTCTTCCAAAAGGCCATCCCAATCCCCCGTGGTTCGCTCTGGAAGATTTCCATCAGCCTGCAGGCGCAGTCAGGAGCATTTCTATGGCAGCACAACACCACAACGTCTCTTTCTGCTTGCCTCCTACCCTAGAGCACAAACTGCACCTGGAGAAGACCAACAGCAGCATCTCGGTGAGGGAGGGCGAAGAGGTGACACTGCACTGCCTACTGCGGGGCACCCACCTGCCCACTGCCCACCTCTCGGCCACCTGGTTTCGGGGGGAGGAGAGTGGCCGCACCAGGCCCCTGCTCATCCTCCACTGCGACGGCGCCATCGAGTACCCCCAGGAGAGCCTGGTGGGCAGGCTGCACCTCCGCCGCCCCACCGCCAGCGACTTCAGCCTGACACTGCGCAGCGTGGAAAAGGGTGATGCCGGGGTGTATCACTGCCAGGTGCAGGAGTGGCAGCAGCAGACCCAGGGGAAGGACAGGGCTCTGGAAGCCTGGGCGCACTCGGGGTACATTTGGCTCACCACCATCCCGCCAGGTAATGCTGCTGGGCGCGAGGGGCTGCTCACCCTGCACCGGTTCCCCTTTAGCCATGCTGGGGTGCGTGGGGGGGCATAGTAGCAGCTCTCTGCTGGTGATGCTGGCTGCAATGGCAAGGATGCAGCAGGGCTGGGAGGACTTGCTAAAGGATTGCAGCAGGGGTCAGTGCTGGGGAGATTGCCAGAGTTGTGTTGGGAGCCAGGGGAGGGAGGGGAGCCCTTCGAGGGAAGGCAATGAGATCCCATTCCCAGTCCCATCGATCTGCCACGGCTGAAACCCAGGTGTTTGGCATTGTAAACGTTGGGGGTGGTGGCCAGATGAGACACCAAGAGCTCTGACTGTGAGGCACGGGGTCCAGAGGGTACCATTGAGTCCACTTGTGTCTGCAGTGCTTTGACTTGTGGGCTCTCTGCGGGACCACGGGCACAAACCCCTGCTCTCAGTTGTGCCATTGGAGCCAGAATGCTAACTTTTTTGGGCAAAAAATTCTTGCTGTGATTTTTCTGGCAAGTCCATCTCCAGTGAGGTCTCTAAAAACAGCCTCTGTCCTCTTGGGGTGAGTTGGGGTGCATGCCGGATGCAAAAATAGAGCTGGATTCTGCATACAGAATTTCAAATAAATAAAAGGAAAGGTTTCAGTCAGGCACACACAGTATTTTTAGGGAGGTAACAAGCAGGAAAAAAGTACTCTCTTGTTGCCTCTTTGGGGAAATAGGAGGCTCGGATGGCCCATGTGCTGAGAGGAATCCTGCAGTTCTTCTCGTGCCTTCAGTCTTGGAGTTGCCATGCCTGAAGCCAGCCTGGGTGCCCACACGTGGTTATAGCTTCTGCAGCAATTACCAATGCTGACTGACGTGGAAGAACTCAGGGGACCCTGTAGAGCCCTCCCTTGTGCCTGCTACTGGCACAGACATGCATGGAGCCTGCTCACATGACTCTGCACCTACAGCAGAGCTAATCTGAATTTAATTGCACAGGGAAGGACTGACAGCACTTCATCCCTCTGCTGTTATGTTCCTGCTGTTGTCCATCACGGCTCCCTCTAGCACCCAGATTTCTCCTTCATCAGCTCCCTCTGTCTCTTGTTACCTGATACTGGTGGAGTAACCATTGCTAAAATTGCTCAGTAACTGCTGGAAAATTCTCCTCCAATAGTGTTTTGGCCAAGTAGTTTTCATGGTTTTCACAAAATCCAAGAGATGAGCTGGGTGGGGTTTTTTGTTGTGTTTTTTTTCTTTGTGTGTGTGTGTCTCTGTTTCTCCAGTGATGCAGGTATCTCAAAATGCCCCTCTGGCTCACATATTTCAATGTTTTGGAGTTTTCTGAGGGGTAAGGAAACAGCCATGTGCAAGTATACCTGTAACCAGGAGTAACATCATCTCTAATCTCTGATGCTCATGCTGCCCTTTAGGATACTTCCCTAGTACTACAGAGGCATTCATATAGTGGAGACTTCACCCTGTTTTCCTACGGGAGAGTAAATACTGCTTCCGTCTATATGGATGGGGTGCAGAGCTTCAGAGGTAGAGAGGTAAAAGCCAGTTTCACAGCCAGGAGTAGCCCCCAGGTTGGTTCATCCCTAGGGTCACACCTAGCTCACCAGGCTGTGTGGGTCCCCCATGGACAGCTTCAAATCAGCAGACCCGCAAGCTCAGCGTGGTTCTGCAGAGCAAGCGTAAAGCATCTGTGCATGGGTGTTAGGTGAGGAGGAGAGTTGAGGAACAACACTTTGAGGTGGATAAAACAGACCCAAAGGAATTGGCATGACCCTTCATGGTAGGCCAGGTGCATCTGAGGTCAGTCTGTGGTGTTGAAGCTGTGTGCCAAGTGAGGAGATTTTGATGGCCAGGATTAGTCAGTGGCTGTAAGGAGCCCGGGACAAAAATGGAGAGCCTGCAAATGATAGCTTTTCAGCTAGCATGGGGCAGACCAAACCCAGTCTTTTGTAGTACCCAGAGGGTCTGCCAGCAGTACAGGCAGCCTCCCCCTCAGCCGGGGAGCTGTCCTGCAGGAGCTGCCGGGGATGGGGCTCGCAGCCGCCTGCAGCTCAGGGTGGCTGAAATAGGATAGCAGAGCGGCAGAAGCAAGGAGGGGCAGGTGTCTGGAGGAGACAGGGACCTCCTTTATCCGGTTTCCTTTGCTTTCCTCTTGTCCCTCCTTGTTCTGTGGTGCAGCCTCTGGCAGACCTCTGCCTCACCCCACTGTCACCTGGTGTCGGGCAGGGACCCAGGGGGTGAAGAGTACGTGGCTTCTCCTTACTGAGCCCAGCCTGGAACGGGTTAGCTGAAGAGCCGTGCTGTTTATGTTGGGATGCTTCAGCTGAACAAGCTGGGACCCTATCTGACCTCCCAAAACAAGAAATTGAGGCAAATTACCTGGTTTCTCTCCCCCTTCTCCTCAGGTAGCCAGTATGAATTCTTAAAAATTGGTAGGTGTTGAAGACTGAGGGAAAAGTGATAAGAAGATAACCTATAGAAACAGTAGGAGAAACTCAAACTAGCTTGGGGCGTCATTCACTTTTTTTTCTTTTCTCTTCCCTCCAGAGTCAACTGTTTTTTCTAGGATCTGCTCATCCCCACCACTGCTGAACTTCATCCTGTACTTACCGCTGGTCCTGATCCTTCTCCTGGCCCTTGCTGGCTTCTGCTGGTTCTTCAAATTCAGAAAAAGCAAAAGGGGCAGCGTCACAGGAGACCAGCTGATGGAACTGCAAGGGGCTGGAGAGGTCAGGAAAACCTAGCTGGTCTATAATGGCGGATGTAACTTGAAGGAGCGGAGCTGGACAGCTGAGGAGGACTGAGTACTTGCAGAGGGGCTTTTTATTGTTTTGCAGTAGCTCTTGCAATGAATCCTTGAAATTGCATGTTTACTTTCAATGGAACGAAGCAGCTTTGAATTACTAAGCAAATAGGGTTTTCATAACAGGTGTTCCTGTCTCTTAGGTTAGGTACTCACCCGTTTCACGTTCTGTTCATTGTGGTATATTTGAGGTCCTTGCAGTATGTGTCTCCCAGTGTGGATGGAAGTGCTGTTATTCCCCTACAGGTATAAGGGAAAAACCAGCTTTTTTTGTACTGCAACACAAAAGTATCAAATTGCTGCTTATTTTAGGTGACTTGGTAAAATCTATGTGGTATGCAGACTAAAAACCAGTGGCAGAGCCTGAAATGGAGTATTGGTGTCCCATTTAAGGCATTGCACTTGCCTTTGCCCATCCCTTGCTGGGGAAGCTCTCAGACACTGTCCCCTCGTTCTGAGAGTGCCTGTGCCCAAAGAGCATGTTCTCCAAATGGAAATGGGTCTTCATCACAAAACCTGTCATAGGAAGATGAGGACTGAGCAAGGATGGCTGGGGCTGAAGAAAGTCCATAGGAGGAGCACCACGGTCATCCACAAAAAAGGAATCCTGTTGACCCAATAAGGGACTCGCATGGAGTCTTGGATCCCAGAAGGAAGAAGCAGACACCAAGCCATCTTGGAGATGACTGTACAAAGACTTTCCAGTTCCTTCCTTTGCTGGGACTGCTGTAGGAGAAGACAGCATCCAGCCCCGTGTGCCTGGGCTGTCTGTGGGTCAGGAAGCTGCACAGCTGGGACCTCGTATTAGACACCTCCAGGTTGTACCATGTAATATATTGGGATGCAAGTGGGATCAGCCACCAGCAGCTTACAGCACAGGAGCAGCCTATATCTGTAAAGGGTTATGTGTATAATGTACTAGTAAATTGGGGGTGCTTCTTGAGCTGAGCTGCTGCCAGAGCTGGTACCAAGCCCCCCATTGCCTGGAGAGACATCCTGGCAGACTCCCAACTGTGCCTTAGGGCAGTATGGAGAAAATGTGTAAACCCCTAGGGCTCTCACCTGCGTATAGAAGAGGTCTTACTGGTCTGCGTGCTGGATGGACAATGAACCCCTGTGCCTTCCCTCTTGGAGAGGGCCTTCCTGAGCATGTGCCCCTTACGCTAACTGCAAAACCACCTGAGTCCTCCTCCTAGCTGCCACTGAGTCACATGCAGGCTGTGCCCCAGAAATTTGGCACGAGAAGCCAGTAAGACACTGTCTAAGGGGTCTGTTCCTCCTGGCAAAGCCATGTGTATGCTTGTGGGGCAGCTACTCTATGCCCTGGGATCCAGCTCAGACTCACCTTTTCAAAGCTGAAGAGCTATGCTACCTGAAGGCTGGCTGGCTGATGCATTAGAGGAAAGGTGCTCAACCCCTAACTGTGCAAAGTGAGTCATGGTCCCAGCGGGTTGTAAGGTCAGGTGTCAGGGCGACACTCAAAGCACCATCCTCAGACAAAAGCAGCCATATGGAAATCATGGCAGATGTTTATGGACCTGCTTCCTTTGACCAGAGGGAGGGTTGGAGACACCACAGACCCTCTAGATGATCTGCTCAAGTCCTTCACTTTCCTTAAAACTAGAATCATAGAATCATAGAATCATAAAGGTTGGAAAAGACCTCTAAGATCATCGAGTCCAACTGTCAACCCAACACCACCATGCCCACTAAACCATGTCC